TACATTTATTGATTGAGGGTTTTTTGTTGTTGTTGTTGTTGTTGTTTTTTAGGTATACACAATCAATTTGGAATCCCAGTACTTATTAATACAGGGAGTCCCTGCAGTGGGAGCCATGAAGGAATTAGTCGAGCGATTTGCTCTGTACGGTGCGATTGAACAGTATAACGCTCTAGATGAATACCCAGCAGAAGATTTTACAGAAGTTTATCTCATCAAGTTTGTGAAATTACAAAGTGCAAGGTGTGTACAAATTAAGCAGTAGCTATACCCTGTGTTCCTGTTGCTGTCATTTCGGCCCTGGGGTTTTCCCAGACATATCCATGTCACACAAACACTCATCACCCTAGATCTTCCCGTTTGTTTGTTTGTTTGTTTGTTTTAGAGGGTCGTGACAGGGTCTCTGCATAGCTCTGGCTGCCCTGGAGCTCACTCTGTGGAACCAGGCGGGCCTCAAGCTGAGAGAGCCTGCTTCTGCATCTCCAATGCTGGGATTAAAGGTGTTTATCACCACCAGAGGTCCTGAGTTCAATTCCTAGCAACCACATGGAGGTTCACAACCACCTTGAATGAGATCTGGTTCCCTCTGCTGGCATGCAGGCACATGACTGTATACATAATAAATAAATAAAATCTTTAAATTTTTTTTTTAAAAGGCTGACTTTACAAATACAAAGCTGTTTCCATCGTCTCATATCTGTGCTTCACAGTTTTTGAACCAGTAGTACGGTAGATTCAGAATTACATTTGAAGCAAATTTCCAGCCCTATGTCCTCATTACTTGGTAGTGTTTTAAATCCTGATAAGCACATTTTTCTTCTTCTTAAAATCCACACAGCAAAAAGGTCTGCTTCTTGAGGTTCCCTGACTGTGGATGAAATGAAATAATTTATGTACCCCCTATTAGGAGTAAATATTAGCAATGGCAGTTCTTATTGTTAAAGTTCTATGCTAATCACCTTCTTTTTAATACTTACATATGACATAATTCTTGTATTCCAATAAGGTGAAGTCAACAATGCTTTATTTTGGGGGGAAGGAGTGTGAGTGTGTGTGTGGGGGGGGGGCTAGAGGTCAATGTTGATTGCCTTCTTCAGTGTTCCAACTTTTATTTATTTATTTATTTGAGACAAGTTTTAATGTGTAGTCCTGGCTAGCCTAGAACTAGCTAGGTAGACCAGGCTAAACTTAAAACTTAAAATTTAAATTTCCTTCTGACTCTACTAGGTTTAAAGGCATGTGCCACCACACTGCGCTCTGTTTTATTCATTTATTTATTTGAGACAGGATCTCTCACTGAATTTGGAGCTCATCAGCTAGACTGGTTGACTGTCAAGTACCAATGATCCTTGTACCTCGCCCTTGCCAGCACCAGGATTGTAGGCATACAGCAGTGCCCAGCTTTTATGTGGATGCCAGGGATTCCAACCTAGGCACTGAGCTTATGCAAGTGCTTTTGTGACTGAGCACGCTCCCTAGTTCATGTCAGCCATTTTTTTTTCTTTTTAATTAGTAACCTGATTTAAAGTGTATCTTTGTCTGACTTTTGCTATTGATGTAACTTCATAGTAGAAAACGGCTTCAGATTCCCTGGAGCTGGAGTACAGGGGGTTGTGAGCCACCCAAGGTAGGTGATGGGATTTGAATCTGCTCTTCTGCAAGATCAGCAAGTGCTCTTATCACCAAACCATCTCTCCAGCCCCTCATATTTCTTTTATATGCTACTTAGCCCACCACTAAAGCATTTGACTTCAAAGGGCTGTGTGCCTTTCTCTCCAGTTGGCCAACTCTTCATGGTTAGGAAGGCATATGGACTAGTGTGCTTTTGTATTTCCACAGGACCTGATACAGTTGACTATGGAGTCAGACATCCCAACTGAATCCTAGTCTTATAGATGAATGTAGGAACATGGCCCGGTTATAAATTTCCTGGTGCCTTGGTTTTATTGTAAGTTGGTTATGAGGTATATGGCATTGCATTGGGTAATATCTCAATAAGAATTAATCATTATCTGTAGATAACAGAAGTACTTGATTACTTATTATAGTGTTGGTTCAGAATAGGTATTCAGTATCTCTTGAGTGAAAACAATTTATTTCTTTCTCTTTTATTTTTGTGTGTATGTGGTGTGGTTGTGTGAGCCTATTCACCTGTATGCATGTAGGACCCTGTGGAGCATCAGATCTCCTGGAGCTGGAGTTATACAGACACTTGTGAGTTGCCATGCTGGGACTTGAACCTGGGTCTTCTGGAAGAGCAGTCAGTGCTCTTAACCCCTTAGCTATCTCTCCAGCCCCAGAAGGAGCAACAGTTCTTAATTTTGCATTGTATTTTCACTGTTTCCACTTGTTCATGTGCGTGTGTACCTAGGCGCACAGGAGACGGTTCTTTCCGACCATGTGGGCCCCAGAGGTTGAACTCAGGTCTTCAGTCTTAGTGGCAAAGGCCTTTACATGCTGAGCCATCTTACCAGCTTCAAGTTATATATTTGGCTCACAAGTTCTATTAACTCAAGCTAACTAGTAGGATCCTGAGTTATTCTTTTAAAAAAGAATAGGTAAGTGTGACTAGCTTAGCTGAATACCTATTGAGATTATGAGTAGAGAGAAAAGAATTTCTTGGGGTTGGAGATATGGCTGGGTGGTAAGATAGCTTGCAACTCTTTCAGAGAACGGGTTCAGTTCTCAAGCACCCTTGTCAGGTGGCCCACAACCACTTGTAACTCCAGCCCCACAGGATCCAGTGACTTCTGGTCTCTCTCTGTGGGCACATGCACACAAATGTACAGAACACATACATACAAGTAAATAGATAATAAATTTTTTTATTAAGAGTACTTTCTGAGCTGGGCATTGGTGGCACACGCCTTTAATCCCAGCACTCCAGAGGCAGAGGCAGGAGGATCTCTGTGAGTTCGAGGCCAGCCTGGTCTACAAGAGCTAGTTCCAGGACAGCCTCCAAAGCAATACAGAGAAACCCTGTCTCAAAAACAAAACAAACAAAAAATAGTACTTTCTGGATCAGTGGCATCATCCAAAACAAAGCATCTTACCCAGCCTCCTATCTCCCCCCCCCCCCACACACACACAGTTTGCTCCTTAAACCTATGGAATACCTATTAAGCTTTTATCTTAGGTAAATCTGGATTACAAAGCCATGGCTGCAGAGATGGCTCGGCAATTAAGAACATGGACTGCTTTTCCACAGGACCTGAGTTTGATTCCTAGTAACCAGGTCAGGTGTCGGTAAACTCTAGCTCCAGGACAGAGCCTCTACACATACTTACACATAATTGAAAGTAATAAAAATAATAATTTTCTGGATGTAGTGGCACATATCTTTAATCCCAGTACTTGGGGAGGCAGAGAAAGAAAGAAAACAAGCTATGTATCTGGGCGATGGAGAGATGACACAGAAGCTAAGAGCACTTATTGCTGTTCCAGAGATCTCAAATTTGGAGTTTGGTTCCCATCCCTCATGTCAGGCGGTTCACCACTGCCTGTAACTCCAGTTCCAGGGCCTCCATCACCTCTGGCCTCCTTAGGCATCTGTACTCATGAGCATATACTTGAATGCAGAATACACGTGTATATAAGGCATAAATAAAAAGCCATGTAATTTATGTGTTTCTCTTTTGAGTTCTCTTTAAATTATCTAATTCTCTTTAGGGTAGCTAAGAAAAAGATGGATGAGCAGAGTTTCTTTGGTGGGTTACTTCATGTATGCTATGCTCCAGAATTTGAGACAGTTGAAGAAACTAGAAAAAAATTAGAAGAAAGAAAGGCTTACATTGCAAGAGCTACTAAAAACAAAGGTACGGAAAGTCTGTTGTAAACACTCCCTGTGTATGGGGCACTACTAGGGATGTGTGTCATTGTGGAGTCCCTGCTCAGTTATGGCCTTTGGTGACTTGAACCACAGGGTTCTGTGTAGCACTGTACAGTCTTGGCAAGAAAGACAGGGTGTTGGTTCCTGGAATATTTCCTATGGGATCTGAGAGATGGTTGAATTTTAGCAAATGTTATCAGAAGGGGAGTGGAGAGGATGGCAGGGTGAGTCAGGCTACACGTTTAAAGCTGGGGAAATAAATTGCCATCATGCGTTTAAGGAGCTGTAAGTCCTATAGGGTAACCAAAATACCAAGGTTTTAGTGAGAGAAATTAGGAAAGTAGACAGGAAGCAAATCATGAAGTGCCGTGTGTCACCTGCTAAGCAATCCAGTGACTAACATGAAGGCAGCAAGAAGCAACTGTGATTTGCAAACCAGTTAGAAGTGCTACTCCTGGTGGGAGAACTCCAGTTTTTGATCAGCAGCTGGTTCAAATGTCCACATGTCCAACTGAGTTTCTCCTGACACAAGTAGGAACTAAACATGGTTTATCCATATAGTAGAATATTCTGAAACTGTAAAGGTTTCTACGCAATGGTATGGGAAACTCTCTAAGATTACAGTTAGTGGAAAATGTAAAAGAATAGATTTTTATTATCTTTTGACTAGGGAGACAAGGAGGCTCCAGGGGAACTGTGAGGCATTTTAGATAGATGAATAAGACAATACACTAAATAAGTAGGGAAAACAAGGAGAAGGGAAAGCTTGACACAGTACCCTTTCCTATCCTTTCAGAAAGCCCTTAAATCTTATCAGTGCCTTCCCTGCTCTGGAAGTATCATTTGGGGAGTAGAGTGTGGTTTTAGAATTACAAGATTCTGAATGATCAAAATGATTAATGAAACATTTGTTTATCTTTCCCTCAATGTCTAAAAATACAACTTTGAAGACTATTACATGACAAAGAAGAAACTGGTTCCAGAGCAAAAAGGAACAAATGATTCTAGACAAGATTTCCATCCACATATGCCTGGATTTTGCACAACTTCTTTGAACACTTCTCCTGAGAACTCAAGTCCTTCTCTTCCTTATTCTTGTGACTTGCCTTTATGCTATTTTGCCTCTCAAAGCAACTTTTTACCTGGGGAACATATGGACAGAGCATCAAATTCCTGTAGTAGCGGTAGGAACCATAGTGAACTATCAGAGCATTGTAACTACAGTGCCTTTTCCCCAAAAGTACAGGTGAACACTTACAAGAATTCACTACCTTGCTCTAGTGGGCAAGAGGTCATTACTACCTCAGAGTCAGTCGGCAGATTTATGCCTAGGACAACACAGCTGCAGGAGAGGAAAAGAAGGAGAAACTGTGATCATGAACTTGGAATGTTTCCTGAAACAAACACAGGCAGTAACGAGGTTGTGATTGGACCTAAGTTACCAGGAATTCCCACAGTGGATCTGCAGGATGACTCCTTGAATACAACGGCAAATTTAATTCGGAGTAAACTTAAAGAGGTGAGGTAATTGTTTTTTAATTGAGATAATTTAGTTGTAGAGTCAGCAACTATTTAGGAAATTATTTGGAGGAACTAAAACATTGTAATTATTCATTTTACTTTTTGTTTTTGATGTATTTTCCTACCTTTATTTTCTAAAATAACAAATTTGATCAATATTTTATTTGGCAGTAATTCTTGGTTTAATAATGAGCAGATATATTTTATGTCAGCATAGGTACAAAATATTGTATGTTCCAGTCAGTCAGACTATGATAGTGGATTCTAGAAGTTGTCTCTCCTTCCCTCCCCCTTTAAAACTCCCTAGATAGTAAAAACAGAAGCCATAATTGACAGCTTAATCAGTTCTCTTAAATTCAAAGTTACTGCAGATTGCATCAAAGTCCTAATGCTTTTGTGATAGATATCCATAAAACAAAGAATGATTTTGATTACTTAATCAGTTAATTAGTCTGTTGGAAACAGACTGAATGGATTTGTGGTGCTCCATAACTTCCATATCCGCAGCCCACAAGGCTAGATTTCTAAGACCGAACCTTAGCTCACAACTTAAAAGATCTGAGCTAATTGGATATCAGATTGTCTTTTTCCAAATTATTTACACGATTTTTTATTTCCTAAACACAAAAGAAAGTTATTGTCTGAAGTAGCTCATGAAAGCATTGTTTTTGTGGAGTAAAGGCCATTACCCAAATTCTTTTAGTTGAATTAAGCAAACTTTGTTTTCTGTCAGCCAAGGCTGTCTCCCTAAAGCAGGATTTGAGAAAATAGCATTGAACACAGGAGAGAGTGGGATTCATATAGCTCAGGAACTGCAAGGCAAGGGGTTTTTTGAGGGTTAAGAGTTTCTAGAGGAATTTTGGTTATGTAGGAATTTGGCAGAACATCTCAAGAGTATTTAGCAGAACATCTCACAGAGAGAGGTCAGGGTATAGTGTGTGAAACATTTCAAATTCCAGGAAATGGGTCAAGACATGGTCAAATCCAAGTTTTTCAGAAAACAGGAATGAACTTATTTTGACTTTGTAACAAGATGGCTTCTAATGTTAAGATGGGCCAGGCTGGTCCATCAATATATTGCCTAAGAATTTATCTATTTCTTCTAGATTTTCCAGATTTAAAATATGTTTTCAAGAAATTCCCAAATGATTCTCTGAATTTTACTGGAATCTGTTGTAACCTTCTTGGTCTTTTTATTTGTTGGTTGGTTTTGGTGTATTTGTACTTTCTCCCTCTCTTAAGTTTGTTGGTCATACAAGGAAATAAATCCTGATTTGATTGGTTCTTATCTCGAGCCCTTAACCAGGTTTTGACCTGAGAGGAATGACAAACTCAGCGAGTTGGTTTTGAGTATATAAGTTTTACTTGACACTTATGTCAAAGTAACACACAAGTATAAGCAAACAATCCTAAGAACCACAGACAATAGGCTCCTGAGGGCCCAGTGTTGTGGAATTGGGTTCAGACCGGGCAGGCGGCACTCAGCTAGATGGACTGGTTGTCTCAGGTTTGCGGATTAGAGCTCCAGGACATAGTGTCTATGCTCTAAAGTTCCCAGTTCTGAGCTGGTCCTTAAATAGTTTGCTAAATCTTGCTAGTCACACTTTGCCACACTCCATACATTCTCACTCTTATCTACAATGGCTGGGTATTGGGAAAGGGTATACGCCCTTTCTTCAGCCAGGCCTTTGCCTGCCCCATTGTAACCTTTGTCTTAATCTCCCTCCAGCCAGGCCTTTGCCTGCCTGGTTACAAGCCTCCTTACAGTTCTGTATTGTTTTTTAGGTCTACATGTACTCATTTCTGTCCCAAGTTTTTTTTTTTTCTGCTGTTGTCTACTGCTGAGTGACTTCTTTTCTTTTTAAACTAGGTGATTTCATCTGTACCAAAGGCTCCAGAGGGCAAATCGGAAGACCTGCATACAAGTCACTCTCAAAAACGAAGAAGAATATAGCTTGCCAGTGAGTTAGTCTTGTTTTTTCTTTCTGTTTTCCTTTTGAGCCAGTGTCTCACTGGGTAACCCTGGCTGGCCTGGAACTCACTATGTAGATCAAGTTGGCCTTGGGCCTCTGCCACCTGGATATTAGGATTAAAGGTATGTACCACCACACCAAGCTAAATTGATATTTTCTAGAAAGATCCTTTTTTTTTTTTTTTTATGTTTAGCCCATTTTAATTCTTTAAGGTATCTTACTACTGGTGTTTTTAAAGTAAACTATTTTTTTTGTATTTCTTTTAAACTGTTTGCAAATGTTTTTAATCTTTTTTTGGATCTACACTCAATGTGGCAGAAACTGTTCTTTTCACATTGATTTCTTTTTAGTTTTTTGAGACAGGATTTCTCTGTGTAGCCCTGGCTGCCCTGGAACTCACTCTGTAGACCAGGCTGTCCTCAAACTCAAAAAGATCTACCTACCTCCGTCTCCTAAGTGCTGGGATTAAAGGTGTGTGCCACCACCACACAGCTTGTATTAATTCTTATATTACAATATTGAAATTGTTTGAAACAAATATAAAAATCTATAATGCAAATAAATGCAGTCAGGATCTGACTTTTAATTCAGGTATTGAGCCATTTGTGTTCAAATGGTAGTAGTCACGTTGTTCCTGAATATCAGGGCTTCAAAATGAAGGCAAATCTGTAAAGGACAAATGCAAAAAAGTGTTAGAACAAAGTTGGTATTAGAAATGTACATGTTGGGCTGGGCGGTGGTGGTGCACGCCTTTATTCCCTGTACTTGGGAGGCAGAGGCAGGCCTGGTATGTGAGTTTGAGGCCAGCCTGGTCTACACAGAGAAACTCTGTCTTGGGGGAAAAAAAAGGAAAAAAGAAAAAAGAAATGTACATGCTATTGTGACTTCTAAGAATAATTTGCATGAACTGTGATGAGCTAAAAAAGAATCGGTTTTGGAAATTGTAGATTTCTACTCTGTCAGCACACCTGTACTTCTGTAAGTGGACCATGTAATTTTGTACAGACTGTTTCTATCTTCTGGGAAAAATAAATGTGGAAGGCACACCCTGCACCGTGTTCTGTTTGCATCTCAGTTCTTGTGCCTAAGGCCTTCTTCAGTGGTTATATCTGACTGCGCTGTAACAATAAGGTTTACTTGAGTTGCCGTGGTGTACTATCAGCTCTGCCAGCATGGCTCTTTAGTGCCAGGTGACACTACAGAAAACTGCCAAGGGGGGGGGGGGAATCGGGGTCGGGTTCTACGTAGATTGCTGTACTGAAATCTCAGGAGCTGGAACAGGCTGCTCAGTTGTAAAGCCCCAAGTCTCTACCTCAGGACCCTGGTGAATGCAGTGTGTGAATGACAGGAGGAGGAATAAGGAATTGTTTCATGGCTGCTGAATTGCATTTTCACAGGATGAAAGGGTTTTGGAGATTGGATAGTACTGCTAAAAATGGTTAAGAGGATAATTTTCCACATACTGTAGTTTGTGGCAATCCAGAAACTTCTCTATGCCCTTCATGGGAGGAGCTGTTATGTGGGTTTTCTGTTCATAAGTGCATTCCTGATCTGTTTTGTGAGTGTGAGAAGAATGTCGGACTATCCACCTTCACCAGCATACACAGTAGTGGCCGTGACAGGAAAGGAGTGTGTCACGTCGCCAGGAGAGGAGGAGGAGGAGGTAGGAGGCATCTTCAGGGTTCCCAGCAGTAGAAGTGCACAAGACCATCAAGTAGCAGAACTGGCTGCTGGCTGCTCCATCCTAAATGATCTCCCCAGGATCCGACCATTTTTGCTACATTGTGTGGAGTCATCAGTCTCTCCCTCTCCTTCCATGCCTCTGTGTGTGTGCGCGTGTGTGTGCATGTGCGTGCGTGCGTGTGTGCGTGTGTGTGCGCGCGCGCGCGTGTGTGTGTGTGTGTGTGTGTGTGTGTGTGTGTGTGTGTGTGTGAGTGTGTGTGTTCATGTATGTGTGAAGATGCCTTTATCTTTCCCTGTTTGACCTGGTACATGCTCATTCCCTTTTTCTTTGTGTGGTCAAAAAATTAACAAGCTAAATCGAAATCTTAACTATAATTACTGAAATAGTAACACCATCATTAGCGCCCCAAACTTGAATGAGACAGATGACTTCATGATTGTCTACAGTTTGACAATGGGTTGAAGCCCCACAGGTGAGAGGCCATCATGTATTATTTTCTAGTCCTTTAAAATTTTTCCTTAATTGGGCCAGCAAGATGACTCAGTGTATAAAAGGCACTTGTTTAGAAACCTGACTACCTGAGTTCAATTCTCTGAGACCCACATGGTGGCAGAAGAGAACAGACTTCTACAAACTGTCTTCTGACCTCCACACAATCATTGTGGCATGTCCTAGATTGGGTTATTATGGCTATTATGGAGGAAAGGGTTTATTTAGCTTATACCTCCATTTGTAGTCCATCACTGAAGGAAGTCAGGACAGGAACTCAAACAGGGCAGGAACCTGGAGACTAGAGCTGATGCAGGCCAAGGAGGAGTGCTGCTTACCAGCTTGTTCCTCGTGGCTTGTTTAGCCTGCTTTCTTACAGAACCCAGGATCACCAGCCCAGGGATGACAACCACTCACAATGGTCTGGGCCCGCCCCCATCAATCAATACTTAGGAAAGTGCCTTACAGCCGGATCTTGCATGGGCATTTTCTCAGCTGAGGTTCCCTCCTTTCAGATGATTCTAGGTTGTGTCAAGTTGACATAAAGCTAGTCAGCACATGGCATGTGTACCCCCCCACACACAAATAAATGTTATATAATTTTAGTGAAATTTTTCCCTTGTCCACTTTTAGTATTTGTAAAAACTACCTTTGCATCTGGTAGACATGGTCCAAACGCCTCCAACAAAAGCCTGTCTTTTGTCACTGCTTTTTCAAAGTCTGCAAAAGAGATCTTGCCATCGTTGTCATAATCCTAGAGAGAAAGGTGATTTCATGATAAATGATCAAAGGCTTCTTTAATTTTGCCATAGAAAACTAGCTATCTAGACTGCCAAGCACAACTGTAAGTTCATACTGCCTAAGGCATTATTTACACAAGTCTATGGGTATTTATTAATAGAAGTCAGATTTATTACTCTAACCTAAGACTTCCTAGGTATACACAATGCAGCCTTGTCAAATAAAACACACTGAAATTGAGGAATAATGCAAAACATTGGGAAATCTATACTAACCTACTGCCCCTTTTGCAGTGACATAAGTATAATGTGGCTCAGATGTTTATCACAATTTTATTTCTCAAATGGCTGTATTTGGGAGCTCATCGGGTTTGTAAGGACAGCCATTAAGGGTAAGGTACTCGGAGTTATCACAGTAGTTGTCCAGGCTGGGCTGGGTTAATGGGATGTAGCCTGAAGGCTCCTCCTAGAGTATCAGAGGGTGGAGATCTGGGTAAGTAGGGAGGTGTGGGGAGCCTGCAGAGTTCTGTTTACCTGAGTCACAGTAGAAAGCAGGGGTGCAAGTCAGCAAAGTGTTCTGGACAAGGCCCATGAGAGATTACATGTGTGGTATAGTCCAGGGCAGGGGGACTGTCTATGTGAATTACAAATGCCTTAAACTGCTGCTTCAGATTGGATTGGATAAGGTCTCCTTGGATTTTCATTTTTGTGCATAACTTGAGAATCTGATCTAGAGAAAAGTGTGAGTGGCCATCAGAAAAAGGCGTATTCCATAAATACTTCCTTTCTAGAAAGGAATTTGGGCCACCTTGTCACCAAAGAAGGCACTTGCACTCAGCCTGAGTGGCAGCTAGTATTTCTACAAGAGTACACTCTGCAGGGTTGGACACTGACTTTCCCATTCTCTGAGTCTTACCTTTCTCCCATGTCTGTCTCTGTTTCTTCCACTGTCTGTTTCTGTCGGTCCCACCCCCTCTCTTTTTTCCTCCCCCCTCCCCCCCTCTCTTTCTCCTCTCCTTCCCCTTCTCTCCTCTCTTCTGTCTGTCTGTCTGTCTGTCTGTCTCTCTGTGTGTGTGTATGTGACAATCTCATTGTATGGCCCTGGCTCGTCTTGAACTTGCAATCTTTCAGATATCTAAGTGCTGGGATTGCAGGTGTGCACCACCATTCCTAGCTCTTTCTTCTCTGAGCCTCTGAGTTTGCTGGGGCAGCCCTGGGTTCACAAAGCCTCTCTCTAAACAGCCCTGAGTCCTTGTGAGAAGAGTGCACTATTGTTCCTGTAATAAGGAGCCACTACTGCAAGGCTTTATTGCATTCATTCTGCACCACAGTTTCTCTGCTTCAGTTCTCATCTGCAAAATGGAGCTGATAGTTCTGAGGATACAATGAATGAACACTCTAGAGGGCCCTGAAAGACCTGCTATGTAGTAAGCACTCTATAAGGGTCAAATACTTTTTTGTTTTGTTTTGTTTTTCAAGACAGGGTTTCTCTGTGGCTTTTGGAATTTGTCCTGGAACTAGCTCTTGTAGACCAGACTGGTCTCGAACTCAGAGGCCTCTGCCTCCTGAGTGTTGGGATTAAAGGCATGCGCCCCCCGACGCCTGGCTCTCAAATAACTTTTTATTGTTGTTATTTCACTGAAATGAGTATTTAGATAAATTGAAAGAGTGAGATCATGAAGACAAAAAACACGGAATTTTACATCTGTTGAATCTAGCCTCCCCCCAAACTGATAGTAATGGTTTTACTATCTAACTGATAGAAAGATTTTACTGATAGTAATATTTGAAAATATTTACACTAGCATTTGTTTTGCATAGTGATTATGTAGTCACTGAACCATTCCATATGTAATGAGCATCTACTTTCAGTGAGGCACTGTTGTATGTAGTGAGTAGAGCAGAAGAGCCAGTAAAGAGCAAGTGAGAACTGCTTGAGGAAAGCTCCTCATTGTGGAGGGAAAGCAGTCATGCTCGTTCCGTGGCCTCCTGTGGCAGCTGTTTGCTTGAATGCAGTGCACCGCCATGCAGCTGTTTGCTTGAATGCAGTGCACCACCATGCAGCTGTTTGCTTGAATGCAGTGCACCGCCACGCCCATGCTTACCATTTTCTTCAGGCTCAGGTCCACCAACTCCTTTATCCCTTCATCATTCTCATCTTCAGGGGACTGCTGGGACAGACTGTTCTTCAGCATGTCAAAAATTTTTTCCCGGGAAATATAACCATCTCCAGTTAAATAGTAAACTTCAAAACAGACTTTATAAAACATAGGAATCAAAAATTAAACCAATAAAATATTAGTTATTTCAGCATAAGATGATAAGTGATAAATATATAATAGCTGATCTGATCCATTATATGGCAGAGGTTTTACAATAAAGTGCTTCTTGTTAACTTTCTTTCCACAGGATTCAATACCTCTTGGGAGCTAGAAGAACAGCTTACAGTCCCTGGATTTGGGGGTTGAAAATGGTATCAAGCTGAAATAAATGGATTTTTTAACCAACTTTTGTTTGTATGCTTCTATCTCAGATGACCTCACTCATGTCCTGGGAGTGCAGCAGTGAAGTAGCTTCCTGGAGTTTAATAGTGTAGTTATGTTTCAGCAAAAACCAGGAATAAACTAGTGTCAGGGGAGTGGGCTATCTGTTAAGTTTCTCCAGTCCTCAGCATAACATACATGTTGAAGAACAAGCCTACTGTAGAAAATAGTGTTCCCCCAAATGAATTTCTCCTAAAATATGTAAGAAGCATTTTAGGGAGTGGGATTGGAGAAACACATCGTCTTCAATGTGATATGCTATTTAATCATGGAACTCTGTTCAGTGCCACAACTGTGTTCACCAGCAATTAGTGTTCCCACAAGATTGACACCCATGACACAGCCTTCCACTTCTCGCGAGGCTTGTGTACGAGCTCTGTAAGGTTGGAGGAGGTTAAGTGGAGTGGGAGAAAGGCTAGAGTGCTCGCTTTAAAAATGTGTGATTCAGTCCCAGCACTACACTCCCAAACACCGTAGAGTGGGAACTGCTACCTCATGAAATATAAATGCAAAAAGAACTACAAAAGAGCACGAAATTATTAAATGTCAGAGAAGTTTGATACTCGAAATACTGCTCTAAAATGTTAATGTACCTTTATCATAGACATATTTTTATTAGAAAGTTTATGTGTATGTGTCTATATGAGTGTGTGCCCTGTATGTGCAGGAGCCTGCAGAGGCCAGAAAGGGTATTGAATCTCCTGGAGCTAGACAGATTACAGACAGTTGTGAGCCACCCTGTGTGGCCCTCAAACTCAGGTCTTCTGGGAAAGCAGCAAGCATTCCTGTTCTCTCTACCCTCCAGGCATCTTCTTTTTCTATTCCCAGATTAAAATCAAGTGAAAGAGCAAGTATACAAGTTTGCTCAACTACGGAGAACTGCAGTCTTTTCTTAAGCAAATGGATATGGTTAGCAGTTTGCTTCCCTGAAAACCGGTGTCTAGAATGGTATTCTGTTTCCAGGATTCTTCACAGGGAATCCTGACAGTAGGAGAAAAACAGGACAGCACCAGTGGTGGTGGTGTGGTTGTGGTGTGGTGTGGTGTGGTGTGTGGTGGTGTGGTGTGGTGGTGTGTGGTGTGGTGATGGTGTGGTGTGGTGTGTGGTGGTATGGTGGTGTGGTGTGGTGTGTTTGGTGGTGTGTGGTGGTGGTGGTGTGGTGTGGTGTGGTGGTGTGGTGTGGTGTGTTTGGTGGTGTGTGGTGGTGGTGGTGTGGTGTGGTGTGGTGTGTGGTGTGGTGGTGGTGTGGTGTGGTGGTGTGTGGTGTGTGTGTGGTGGTGTAGTGTGGTGTGGGGTGTGGTGGTGTAGTGTGGTGTTGTGGTGTGTGGTGTGGTGTGGTGTGTGGTGGTGTGGTGTAGTGTGGTGTGGTGTGGTGGTGTGGTGTGTGGTGGTGTGGTGTGGTGTGTGTGGTGGTGTAGTGTGGTGTGGTGGTGTGGTGTGGTGTGGTGTGGTGGTGTAGTGTGGTGTAGTGTGGTGTGTGGTGTGGTGTGGTGTGTGGTGGTGTGGTGTGTGTGTGGTGGTGTGGTGTGTGTGTGGTGGTGTAGTGTGGTGTGGTGTGGTGGTGTGTGGTGTGGTGGTGTGGTGTGGTGTGGTGTGTGTGGTGGTGTAGTGTGGTGTGGTGGTGTGTGGTGTGGTGTGGTGGTGTGTGGTGTGGTGTGTGGTGGTGTAGTGTGGTGTAGTGTGGTGTGGTGTGTGTGGTGGTGTAGTGTGGTGTGGTGTGGTGTGGTGTGGTGTGGTGTGTGTGGTGGTGTGGTGTGTGTGGTGTGGTGTGGGGTGGGGTGGAGGTGGTGGTGGTGGGAGTTGAGACCAGAGCTGTTGCTGTGCAGAGCCAGTTTCGCAGTGCCCAGTGGAGAACCCTCAGTCAGGAAGAGCAGAGGAATATTCATGTCTGGGCTGTTAGGGTGTGTGGAGCTTTGTTCTCATCGTCTTGTAGTGAAGGGCATGTTTTCTTCAGTGAAAAGACAACAAATGGCCCTAAAGTAACACACGCTCAACCCTACATTGAGACCCATTTCCTGCCAAGCCTAGACAGGCACAGAAACCTTAGCTTTGTCAGCTGACCCTTAGTGACTGTTCTTAACCTGGGCTGTAAGCCACACACACCCACCCTAGTGACAATTGAACATTAAAAACTTAGTAAGTCACAGCTGGGTCCCCAATTCATCTTTTGTGGGTTTTTTCCTTTTTCTTTTTTTTTTTTTAAAGATATACAGTGTTCTGCCTGCAGGCCAGAAGAGGTGCCACATCTCAGATGGTTGTGAGCCACCATGTGGGTGCTGGGAATTGAACTCAGGACCTCAGGAAGAGCAGCCAGTATTCTTAACCACTGAGCCATCTCTTCAGGATTCCTTTTCTTACTTTTTTACATTTATATTGCATACCTCTGTTTATGCTCATGGAGGTCAGTGAACAACTTTCAGGAATTGGTTCTCCTACCGTGTGGGTTCTGGGGATTTTACTCAGGTTGTCAGACCTGGTGGCAAGCACCCTTACCCGAGAAACCATCTTGCTGGTGCTTTGTTTCTGTTTGAGACATTCTGAGGCATTTTACAAGGCTGTTTCAGAGAACACTGTTTTCATCTTTTTGATTATATTGTTATCCACTTATGAACGAACATTGCTGGGAAGAAGTACATCAGCAAAGGCTGATGGGTGAGAACTTCACTCAGTTTGGAATGTTTTGGGTCGAGGGCCTAACTACAAATTCTCTTGGGATGTCTTTGGCCCCTTTAAATGGCTATTTATTTTCTGCCTCGGAGTGGGACCTAACACCCTGTGGCTATTAGGTAAATCGTTTGGAATGCTTCCACCAACCCAGAAGCTGAGAGTGTCATCAGTAAGGCATCTAACAGGTCCCCTGCCATGCTGTGACCATCTGCCAAATGCTGCCATCAATGTATTTAAAAAGTAAATTTTGAGTTATGACTTTGTTGTTTTGTTATTAGGAAAACTTCATGAAATTGCTGCCACACCAGAATGTGCAATTTTCATAACCCTGAATCTGTTCCCAGCTGTGGTCACTCTAGTTAGCTCCAGAATAAATGCTGTCTTGTCCCTTTGTGGGTGGTGACTCTGTCAGCGCACCAGCACACTACACACAAAACTGATGGGCGTAGCAGGAAGCCAGTGAGTGCTTCTTACATTTCATCTTCTCTTCAAAAGTCCCTCGGAGAAACACTGCCAAGCCATTAACCCACTCTTGGACGTTTACATGGTTATCACTGTCTTTGTCAAACACAAAGAACACTGAAAAAGAAAAAGAATGTGTGAGTGTATTGTAATTGTCTTACCCCCTCACCCCCATGTTTAGATAGAAGAACTTTTCTTTCAAATCGAGGGAGAAATGTTTTGGTGTTATCTTTTGAAAGAATCGAAGTTATTGGAAATGTGGGTTTCCCCCTTTATTTCTAAAGCAGAAGAGTCATTCCACACAATGAGCAGTAATTTTCATTTCTGGTATCTTACGTAGTTGCTAAAGCCAAGAAATTCCACAGAGATAATTAATGACATAATTTTAATAATCAAAAATAAAAAGTGGTTAGCTGGGTGTTGGTGGCACACGCCTTTAATACCAGCACTCAGGAGGCAGAGGCAGGCGGATCTCTGTGAGTTGGAGGCCAACCTGGTCTACAGAGCGAGTTCCAGGACAGGCTCCAAAGCAATACAAAGAAACCCTGTCTCGAAAACCCCCCCAAAATAAAATAAATAATAAGTGGTGAGAAACCTGTTGTAGAGTTTCCAAAATATCTCAAAGTAAATTTCTAATGTTAAACATTATTTTTAAGTTCTTATGTAGTTATCCTTTCTGTGTGTATGTGGCCCTTGTGTGGAGGTCAAAGCCTTGTGGACCTGGCTCTCTTTCACTTTAGGCTCTCTGACACCTTTACCTGCTGAACCATCTTTCTGGTCCAATTGTTAAACTTACCAATAAAACTTTATTATCCTATAGAAAAACATTCAAATGTTATTTGTTCTTTGGAAGTGAGGGATGCATTGATGACTTGGTTTGTGCCAATGGTTTCACAAGTATGTGTGTGTCAAATCTTACCAAAACGTATATTTTGGATATACCTGTTTTAGACATGTGACATTAAATATTTCCAATGTAAGGAGTCATTATTTTTTCCATGAAGCAAAAAAAGCCAATTAATGATTTACACATGGTGGCATGGACTTTTCAAGGTTAAAAGCCCTTAGTTGTTTAGCCTTCAAAAGTACCACCAGACTCCTTAGTCCAGGGTGGTGATTTCTCCATACTTACCTGCTCTGAGCTACCAAATTCTGAGTGGGTTTGTATGAAGAACCATTCTCAGCCCCCACCTCCACCCCCACCCCCAGATACTGTTGACAGCCCTCTCCTACAGAATCATTCCTTTCTGGTTTGGCTCTGAGAGCAAGTCCAGTCTTGTGAAAAGGACATGAGGATGGGTTCAGGTTTTGCTTGGTCATTTCGGTTTGTTGTGACCCCTTACCCCTGTTCATCAACGCATCGTCAGTCATTCCAAATATGTTGTGCAGAATCCCTCGAAATGTGTTACAGTCCATCCTGGCATTAGCGAGCTTTCCACTGGCTTTCCCCACCAAGCTATAGTAAAGGCGTACGAGACATTCAATTTCATTTTTCTTGACTGTAAGATGAGAAAAATAAGGTGTAGAGTTAATCACCGAGTTATTCAAAGCAATCACAGCTATTTAGTTCTTATGGTGCCAGATGGCCATATATGATGTGATGATGTGAACTTGTTAGAATAGTTTGTAGTGTTTTGCTTCTAGCAGAACTGCAGGCTTCAAAGTGGAAATTTGGAATAGTCACACATGTGGCTTTTGTTCTAGACTTAGAAAGTGATTTTGTTTTTGTTTTTGTTTTATTTCTTTGTTTCTCGAGACAGGGTTTCTCTGTGAAACAGTCTTGGCTGTCCTGGAAGTCACTCTGTAGACCAGGCTGGCCTCAAATTCATAGAAATCCACCTGCCTCTGCCTCTCAAGTTCTGGGATTAAAAATGTGCATTACCATCACCGACAGAAGTGACATATAGTTATGTGCAGGTAACTGGAGCAGTGAAGACAGGAACCATGCTTTTGGCCAGACTCTTTCCGTTTTCTTATTAGGATTTCTTTATTTGGTTTTATGTATATGTATGTGGATGTCTTCCTGGTATGTATATCTGAGCCACATGAGTGCAGTGCCCTTGGAAGCTAGAAGAGAGCATCAGATCCGTGGGACCTGGAGTTGGAGATGGTTGTGAGCCACCATGTGAACCGAGCCTGGGCCCTCTGCAAACTTCTCTCTAGTCCCCATCTCCCTTTCTTATCCTAAACCGGAAGACTTAAGGACTCCTCAGTGCCCTCTCTAGGAACAGCTGAGTCTTGTCCTGGGTGATCTCAGATTCTTCAGTCGGGTGAATGTCTAGTTCTGTGACTTGGCAGCTACATGAGAGAACTGGAGTGGGAGTGGCAGCTGGTTGCCACTTAGTTTTCCTTTTGCTTTGTCTTGATCCCTTCCTCCTGATTGTGGAGGAAGGTGAGGAGAAAGGAAGGACTATTTCTTTGTAAATACTTGCTCAATATACAACAGGTGGGGTTCTATGTGATTTGAAGAATGTAGTTGTTCTTAGGGTAGTGACATAATTTAGAGTAAGCAATTTCAAAGGTGCCTAATAACATTTATTTCATGGGCCAAATTAAGATCTCTTGCTTCTTAATATAATTTCATCCTATACCAGTACAGCCCTGAAATAGGCTAATTTTATTCATTGTCTAAGTCTTTTTTTTAATTAATTTTAAACACAATCTCATTTTACATACCAGTCCTAGTTCCCTCTCCCTCCTGTCCTCCCCCCGCCATACACTCCTCAGAGAGAGTGAGGCCTCCCATGGGGAATTGTTAAAGTCTCTCATATCATTTGGGGCAGGACCGAGCTCCCCCCTCTCCCTGTATTTAGGCTGAACCTAGATACCTATCCCTCCATAGGGAATGGGCTCCAAAAAAGTCAGTTCATGTACTATTGTCTGTTGGGGGCCTTGGGCAGTCTATGGGAACCCTGGCAGTGGAACCAGTATTTATCCCATTGTCTAAGTCGTAAGGGACAGCCATGAACCAGGGAGCTGATACAGACATGACTCCTGCCCTGGAAGCTATTGCAGGCTTGTCAAGAGATACATAAGGGACTGTGGTGTGGCTCAGTGGTAGAGCACTTGCCTAGTGTGTTTGATCACCAGCTGCTCTTAAACCAACTGACGTGTTAAAGTATTGTAAGTCACAGACCAAAGGGAGGGAGGGATTGCCACCTAGGGATGTAGGGGAAGCTGTAGCCACGCCTTCTTAGGGGCTGGCTACAAGAGTACCTGAGGGCTTGTGAGGGCGTGGTCAGAGTGAGTAGGGGGACTGCGTTTTCGGTTTCGGTTTCTCTCTTTGCTTCTTGCTGTACAGACTACCACCGGCTGGCTGGTTCGCTCTGTAAGTAAGGCTTTTCCCTATTAAATACCCTTATATTTCTACCTGACTCCGTATTGGTAATTTCTTACTATA